TAGAAAAACATTATTTTTTTAAAATAAATATCAACATAATGTGCATGCAACTTTAGGTGTTCAGTTTGATGGGTTTTGACAAATGTGTACACCCACATGACCACCTTAATTTAGATTCCATTGTATTGGAGCATGGACATTCTCATTTTGTGGTTTATCTGAGGGAAGAATATTTTATCCTTCATTTGTAAGCACAATGATGGCTGAAAATTGTAATTTAATAGTATATGTTCATTTCCCCCTAAGTGAAAAAACTAGCAACACCGTGTAAAATAACAATAGCTATGGCAACATAAAACAGACTTGAATGCACGTCTTTTGATTTTACACAATATTCTTTTTACTATTTCTTCATTTCTGCACTTAATTCCACAGAATTCTAACTGTACAATATGTACACTAATTCTACACTGGTTAATGACTGGCACAATCAGGGCCTTTTCCTCCCGTAGTTTGTATGTGAAATTTCAGAGAGACAAACAAGCAGCGGGGTCCAGAAGACATAAAGTGAAAGGATTTTCTGCAGTCAAGTGGAAAAGAAGTTATGGAGGAGAATGAAAGGAGTTCAGAGAAATCATGACAGTGCACATATAAATTAAGAAATTATATATAATTACAGTAAAAGCCACAAATATCTTTCTATAGGTACAGTAGAATTAGACACAAAAGGTTTTTCAAATTTATTTTTGTTTTTAAAATATGTTCCTATTTCTTGAAATATGAAGTTAGAAAACTAACAGAAAACCTAAACGTAGCAGTGATCCTGAACATTTTGCACATTTGGTTTTCCAAAGTGTCTCTATTTTCCATGTGCTTTTGATGAATCACAAGTGGAAATTCACAAACAAAATACACAAGTCTATATTATATATGGTATCTGTTGCAAGATGAATTTTTGCTGACTTTCCCCCGCTTGTTGAGGGTATTTCATTCCTAGACACCCATGTTACTCTCAAAATCAAATTAATTTGTTCTTTTTAAATTTCCTGTATTTCTGGTTAAGCACCTTTTACACACACACACACACACACACACACACACACACACAAGCACTGAGAGTTTTTTTGTGTGTATGTTTAAAGAGGTTAATAAAAACAAAATGCAGGGCCCTAACCGGGTTGGCTCAGTGGATAAAGCATCTGCTCCTAGACTGAAGAATCATGGTTTTGATTCTAGTCAAGGGCACATTCCTCAGTTGCAAGCTCAATTCTAGGCTTTGGTCGAGGCAAGTGAGGGAGGCAACCAATCAACATCTTTCTCTCTCTCTCACACACATCCGAGTTTCTCTCTGTGTCTCCCCTTCCCTTCCACTATTTCTAAAAATCAATGGAAAAATATCCCTCAGGATTTTTTTTTAAATGCAGAATTTTAATACTAAATAAAAGTAATATAGATTCAAATGCATAACATGCATAGTAATAAATGTCACAGTATTTATCTTAAAACTTTTAAAGAATAATCCAAAAAGTTGCTAAAATTATTCAACAAAATAAGTATTAAAGGCAGATATAATCATAATTTTATTATACAGCTTATAAATTATCAGGGTCTGAACTTAAGTTAGTATTTTATTGTCTCAAGGGCACTGAAGAGCACACATGAAAATTCAGAGTAAGGTGGGATTTTGCAACACTCACAAACATCCTCAAGATCATACCCTATCCCTCCCCGAATTTACATAATTTTAAATGTATTCTCCTAGTGTTAACACTCTTTAGATATATTCCTCACATGCTTTGCATTTTTAACAGGATATTAGTCAGTATTAAATGGGACCTTATAAAGACATGGTTATACCAGATCAATTGTATCTATGACAAAGGGACAGTCCTCAATGGGGAGAAAAAGTGATTTTCATTGATTGTGCACCTCAAACTTCTATTCTCAACCTCTAATCTAATTAGCAAGTACAGAGCTGTGTGGCTCATCCTCCAAGGAATCCCTATGGAAGTTCTGTTGAGGATCCCAAGAGGCTGCCTCGAAGATGGGTCTCTGGACTCTCTTCATGGCTTCAAGTGTTATCTGTTTTATAATTTTGGCCCTCAAGTATGTTTGAAGAAAAAATATATCTACCTCAAAATAAATAAAAATGCTTTCAAACCATATATTTACTGATATTATCTCAGCTAGACAGAACATAAGATTCTAAGGGTGTAAGGGTGCTTAATTTTAACACCCTTATCTGGAACTATTAGCAGAGATTATAGTCAGATGAAGGGCCATGATAGTATTATATATATTTTATATATATATTTATATATATATATATATAAATAATTTCTCTTTTTTGTTGAGAGTATGATAGTATCTCCCTTTTCTCCCCCCACTGATCCCCTCCATTTCCACCCGCCTGCCACCCTGCTCATCCCTTTTCCAGGCCTACTGCACTATTGCCTGTGACCATGGATTATGCATATATGCATACAAATTCTTTGGTTAATCTATTCCCACCTACCCCCTTCCCTCAGAGATTCCTCAGTCTGTTCCATTCTTCCATGTCTCTGGATCTACTTTGTTCATCAACTTATTTTATTCATTATATTCCACATGTAAGTGAGATCATGTGATGCTTGTTTTATTTGTAATCTATATGAAGGAACTAAAATTATAATCTCATTTTTTCTACCTGATGCTAATTTAGGTATGCTCAGCAACCAATGTAAAAGCAACATGATAAATTATCTTAAAAAAAAAACATTTAGAAAGATAATGAAGTTTAACTGGATCAAAATTTAGGACCAAAAGCAAACACATCAAATCAAAATGGAGAAGAAATATACCAGCCAAAATAGGGTAAAAAAAAATAAACATTTTAAAAGTCTTTGTCTATCCAACAATTATGGTTTTTAAGAGGGGGGGAAATAGGCTAACAGCAGTTGATTCAATAGCAAAAACATAAACGGCAAGTTTTCTATTTTATTTAACACTGGACAGGCTCTAATTAGAATACACATTTTGATAGTCTCATTTGAGAAGTTTGTTGAAAAGTGAAGGACTAGTAATGAACACAACATGCTAAATTATTCCTATGAGAACAAGCTAAAAGAAATTGAAGTAATATTTTTTTTAAAAAGATTACTTTGAAAAAAATTATTGCCCTCTAAGGCTATTAATAATTACATTATTTTGCTGTCTTGGAGAGGAATGCTCAAGATGAGGGGTATATAAAAATAATGACAAAATGATGTGATATGCTATAAGTGAGGCATTTTGATAATAAGGATATTTTAAAATGATGCAACATCCAAATGGGAGACACCATAAGACTTTTTTTTACCCCTTTCCCAGGAAAAAAGTGCCTTCCCACCACTGGTTCACCTATGCTACTTCACTGGTTTATCTCCTCACTTCTCCAGAGCCCAGGACTCTGGAAATGTAGGGGTTTCACTGTGCTAAAACTATTTGCTAACGTTTATATTGTTATATTTTTGTTTGTTTGTTTGTTTTGTTGTTGTTTTTTGTTTTGTTTTGTTAATCCTCACCTGAGGCTATTTTCTCCATTGATTTTTTGGAAGGGAAAGAGAGAGACACATCAATTGGTTGCCTCCCACATACGCCTTAACCTGGGCTGCAGATCAAGCTTGCAACCCAGGTAAGTGTCCTTGATTGGAATAGAACCTGAAACCCTCTAGTCCACGGGTAAATGCTCTAACCACTGAACAACTGGCTAGGGTGCTCTTATATCTTGACACCTCTAGTTTTTCTCTATAATTTTTTCCAACAGCCTGCCAAGCTCCTTGACTTTTGTTGACCCCTCTTCTTACAAGGTCTCCAAATGATTCCATTCTTATGGACTGCTCAGCGCAACCTAACTATAACATTCAGGCCCTGAGTGATGTTCCTCCTATATCTCTGGGGCACTTCTGGCTTCATCTTATAATCTCAAAAACAGTCAAATCCAGAAGCTTTCAAACTGAACTCTACTCATACTTAATTTCACTCACGGGTCTTGCTGAATCCACTAACTGAAGCACCTGCCACTCTGCCGGAAGGTTGTGTATTTTGGCCACAAGGGCTTGAGGTGAGAGGCTCTGGTGACACCTCTGAAGAAAGGTAACCTTTCAACAATAAATAAGTAGGTGGGTAAATTGAATTTTTGAGATAATTCTGAGGCATGGTCTGTAGTAACTCCCCCTACCATCTAAGTTCCCCAGCAGTATCAAGCCCCGGTTGCCTACAGTGACTCATAAATACCCCTTACTGCTTTTCCCTCCCTTTCCAGCCTCCCTTTCCCCGTCTCACTTGTTCCTAAATAGACTAATGGTGAACACAAATCCTTACCACGGTGTCTGCTTCCAGATAAACTTATCCTAAAACAAAGTATCTCTATATCATTATCTGTACATTTTCCAAAGAACTTCCACTTTTTCTTACTAGTAAATAACATGTAGAAAATAAACCACATTCACATTTAAGTAAAAACAAATAGTCCTGGTCTCTGTATATGCAGTGTGCCCACATCCAATGGCTCATCCTTGGGAAGCAAACATGCCTTTGGGAGGATGGCACATATTTCCCCAAAGAGACAACCCCCAGCTTCAAGTGAGACTTATTAATCTGACCTAGTATGAATGAGATTGGCCATAGAAATAATTTCTTGTGAACACATTTTCCTACCAATGTCACTACAGTTGTCAGAAAGATCCTTTCCTTTCTGCTCAAGACAAGAAAGCAAATAACTGTATGTATTTTTTTTTTTTTTTGGCTCCTTATCATGCTATGTGACAGCTCAAAAAATTCTGCATACAAGGAATCCCATCATTTCCGCACATAGGGCAGTTAAATGTGCTCATTTGCATAAGTTATAACCAAATATACAAGTAAAAGTATTGCTTGTGACAGCAGATCTGACTTTGGGGATGCATATGAATTTCTCAATTTTTAATGGATTTCAGCATTGACATTATGGCATAGAAATAAAGCATTTCTTGTAAGCATTCCAGGCATTCCAGCTGGTAACGAATATTGCGATAATTCAATGAAAGGTAAAGCAAACTTACCCGAATCATCATGACTGAACATCTGATATCATGAATTGTATCATAGATCTTCTTTGAGATGTCCACAAATTGATTATCATCAAACACATCCAAAGAGTTCTTATTTAGAGCTTCCAAAGCAACATTCACTTGTGTTACAAACTCGGGAATTGCTGTAATTGATTAGAAATCAGAAAATGTAAATAAGAATATTATCTTAACTTTACAAGAAATGAAGATTCATATTTTTAAATAAATATTTGATTGATATAATTGTAATTATTTTTTAATGTAGAGAGACAAAACATTTTGAAATTTCCAAAAAGTTAAAAGAATCAATGACAAAAATAGACAATTTTATGGAAATATTTTTAAAGATTATCTTTTTTTTTCCTTTACATCATTTTTGGTTTTAGCCACACCTGGGATCATGTTATCATTTCTCATCCTATCCAATATGAGCCCCAAGAAATTCCAAAAATAATTTATAGAAATAACAGCAGAAATTGTAAACATGAAGATATTTAAAGAAATAATTTGAGCTCCTAAATAGAAGAAAACTTCATTATATATACTAATTATGAATAGGAAAAATAGAAATACTGTAAACTTTCTTTAGTAAGATTTTTTTCCCTATCAACAAATAAAAAAATCACTGATCTTATATGCATTATATTTCTAGCTAAAATAGCATAACATTGAATGAGTGTAGGGATGCATCTACCATAAGGCCAATCCAGATTGTCTTTTGCATTAAGATTTAAAAATTATCTTCATTTAGAACATTCATTAACTACACCATATTTAAGTCACTTTTCTAATTGTCCACTGTGATTGATTCTTAAAAAACAACCCAAGTATTAATCTGTGGTTAATAGTTGAATGACAAAGATACAGAGAATTCAATAATCCTGTCCAGGGTCATTCTGCTGATATATAACATAACAGAAATTGAACTCAGACTGCCAGAATGTATTATATTATGTTTAGATAATATCTGTGCCATGTGAAGATGGAGGGGAAAAGCAGATGAAAGCAATGATTCCAAATCTGGACAATAGAAATCCTTTATCTGGAAATGTTGGTGATATACATGGAAACTCCTATTATTTAGCGCCCTTGTTTTTTCACCTACTAAAGTGTATCATCTATTCCCTACTTCTTAGCCACTATACCCACCAGGTTTATCCATTGTGCTCTTCTCTCTGTCCATTCTCTAGACTCATTGTCCAATAAAAAATGGCACCTGGCCACATGCGATTATTAAAAATTAAATTTCTTAAAGTTAAATGAAATGTAAATTTTAGAGCCTTAATCATACCACATTTTATTTATTTACTTATTTATTTATTTATTAAATATATTTTATTGATTTTTCACAGAGAGGAAGAGAGAGGGATAGAGAGTTAGAAACGTCGATGAAAGAGAATCATCGACCAGCTGCCTCTTGCACAGCCCCTAGTGGGGATGTGCCCGCAACCAAGGTACATGCCCTTGACTGGAATCGAACCCGGGACCTTTCAGTCCGCAGGCTGACTATCCACTGAGCCAAATTGGCGCCGGCCATACCACATTTTAAGTGTTCACTAGACATATGTAGCCATTGACTACTGTTTTGAGAGTGGAGACATGAAACATTTCTATCATCACAGAAAATTCTACTAGATAATGCTACTCAATAGTGAGATTCCATTAAACAGTGTCTTACTTCCAGTGGACAGGATAACAAAGCTAAGGAGGAAGCTCACTTACACCACAATTCCCAATCATATGGATGTGATTCCCAAACTATATCTTTAATCTTGATCATTTTTTCTGAATTTCAGGATTGCATATCCAACTGTCCATTGCAAAATTCTATATGAATTTTCCATAACACTCCCAATTTTTTTTTTTTTTTACCTAAACAAGTTTAGGTAAAAACTGGAAAACACACACACACACACACACACACACACACACACACACACACTCACACACACACTAATTTTCTTCTACTATTTTCTATATATTATTATTATTATTATTATTATTATTATTATCATTATTTCAGAAAAGAAGGGAGAAGCAGAGAGAGATAGAAACATCAATGATGAGAGATAATCACAATCCAGGACTGCTGGCTCCCAACCACTCACCTGCCTGCCTGCCCGATTTCCCCTAACTGTTTCTGCCTGCCAGCCTGATTACCCCTAACCACTCCCCTGCCAGTTTGATCATCACCTACCTGCTCCCCTGCTGGGCTGATTGCCCCTAACTGCTCTTCCCTGCTGGCCTGGTCACCCCTACCTGCCTTCCTTTGCCAGACTGGTCACCCCTAACTGTCCTCCCCTGCAGGCCTGGTTGCCCCCAAATGCCCTCCCCTGCTGGCCCAGTCACCTCTAACTGCCCTCCCTTGCCAGCCTGGTCACCCCCAACAGCCCTCTTCTGCAGGCCTTGTCCCTCCCAACTTCACTCCCATGTAGGCCTGGGTCCCCCCCAACTGTCCTCCCATGCAGGCCTGGTTACCCCCAACTGCCCTACGCTGCCAACCTGGTGACCCCTAATTTCCTTCCTCTGCAGGCCTGATTGCCCCCAACTGCCCTCCATTGTAGGCCATGTTGTGGTGGCCATCTTGTGTCCAAATGGGAGCATCCATCTTATGTGACAGAGTGATGATCAATTTGCATATTACTCTTTTATTGGATAAGAGAATATAATAAAAGGCTACTATGCAAATCAACCAAATGATGGAATGACCAGTTGCTATGGCATGCACTGATCACCAGGGGTCAGACACTTAACACAGGAGCTGCCCCCTGGTGCTCAGTGTGTTCCCACAGGGGTGCACTACTCAGCCAGAAGCTAGGCTCATGGCTGGTGAGTGCAGTGGTGGTGACAAGAGCCTCTCCTGCTTCCGTGGCAGCTCTAAGGATGTTCAACTGCCAGCGTAGGCCCATGGCAATTGGACATCCCTCAAGGGCTTGAGGACTGTGAGGGGGTGCAGGCCAGGTGAGGGACCCTCCCGAGTGCACAAATTTCATGCACTGGGCCTCTGGTATAATATATAAAAGCCACAACAATGTAGATACAATGCATCATGTTTGGTATGCATTTCAATGTATTTTAGGTTTTGTTCACACTTGGAAATCTCTAAAAATATATTTATGTGAGCTTATAAGAACACTCAATATATTTATGGTCTCAAAACCTGGGATGTCCTATTGTTAACAAAACCTCATTCATAATCTTCCCCACTATAGAGTTTTTTTCACCTGCTAAACAAGTGCACCATTCAATATTTAACTATATTAACATCTTCATCCTGTTACTATCTCTCTACAATAATGAAACTTTTCCATCATCTTCTTATGTAGATCTTAGAGAAGGTAGGGGAGGGCAGGGAGAAAGACAAATATAAGATCATGTAAATGTCTAGTTTCACTGTCATGTGAGAAATGTGAGAAACATTTATGGTATTTTAAGGAAAATAGCCTTTTCAGTATTGTAACATGACTTCATTTAAATTTCTCTTGGGGCTTTTTAATAATAAACTACTATTAGCTCCAATTAAAATAAAATCTTTCAGAAGCAAGTGTTTAATTCCTGAAGTACAGCTGGAAATTACTACTTTTTCACTCTAATAGCATGAATGAACTATTCAAAGCTGATATGGAATGCATTTCTCTTTTCATTAGCTTAAACATCAGCTGTGCATGTGCTTTGCTCATACTATGGACATATGGTTGCTTTGATCAAACTGGGAGTGAATCTTTTTAATGATTTCAAGAAAATACAAAGTGAATATAAATAAGTGGCCAGTTAATGTTAATTTAGAAGGAATAACAAGTTGACAAACCTGTCTTGAAACTGTAATCTACCTAAATTTCAAGAAATTAAGGTTCACACATAATGTATCACCATGTTATACAATTATTGATCAAAAGAGGAATACCTTAAACAAATGCACTCTAATCAATTGAAAGGCCAGGTAGGGTAAACTCTTCTGAACTTTGGTGCATAGATTTATTAAACAAACGTAGCCTTTTGGTCAATACATTGTCAGCTTTGAGTTTAAATTATCTTGTCTATCTTATACTGACAAATTCAAAGACAGTTCTCAACTCTTTAGAGGTCTATATATGTTCTCAATGTACTTCATTCAGAATATATAGATTAGCTAATATTCTTTGTTCACCCATCTTGGCACTATGCTACACATTTTATTTGAATTGACTCATTTAATCTATACCACAGCCCTGTGAGGCAGGAAATATTACTATCCTGATCTTTCAGATGAGAAAACTGAGGTCACACAGCTAATAATTGGTTGGCTGGTAACTGGAATCCCAAAACTGCACTGTTACCTTTTGATCAGTAAAATTCTTATGGCCCACAATGACCCCAGCCTCCTAGATTTCAGTGTACCTGGAAGAATAAATGTTAATTGTCTGGCAATGAGGTTAACAAACCTATAAAACCAATTTTGCCCAGGCCTTGAGCCTTCTTTGGTGTTGATCCAATAATATTTTATCCCTTCTTAATCCTCACTGTCTGTCTGTTATTTATGTATTTATTTATTATTTATTTATTGTTAATTCTCATTTGAGGCTATTTCCCCATTGATTATATAAGAGAGTGGAAGGGAGGGGGAGAGACAAAGAGAGAAACATTGATATGAGAGACACATATTGATTAGTTGCCTTCCACACATGTGTGACCAGGAAAGGGCCAGGATAGTCAACATATTTATGGTCTCAGAACCTGGGTTGGCCTACTACCAAGGTGTGTTCCCTTGACTGGAATGGAATCCAGGACCCTTCAGTCCAAGGGCACACACTCTATCCACTGAGCCAAACCAGTTAGGGTGATCCTTGCTATATTTATTACATGCATTTGAAAGTAGGTGAGGGTACATAGTTATTCTTTTTTTATAGTTCAAAAGAGAATTCAGACTCCTTATTGGTCATCATCTCCAATGATGTCACCAAATTATGTTTTCTATCATGAATAAAATGCATATTAAAACAGTATATTTTATCCCTTCTTAATCCTAGAGGAATTTGATAGAGGAATTTGGCTTTGGAAATTAATATAGGCTGTCACCATTGCTTTACATTATGCTGAGTAAGTGGGAAGAAAGTGAAATTAAGCATATGCATGATGCCAACAAATGCCTTCTATAAAAAAAGTC